CCGTTCCTTGGCTGCCGCTCCGTTAAACGTTCTAGACGGTCGTCGTCGTCCATCGTCCCTACTCGCGACGTTGCCCTGCCCAAGCCCGCTTACTTTCATGCTCGCTGCCGTGCAACTTATCACACGGCTCGCATTTTCTGGTGACTCGGAACCGTGGAATCGTCTGTGTCGAAGAGGTGCGGCTGAGTGCGGGCGACGATTTTTGTATACTGTACGTTGAACTTCTTTTGCACCGTACGTAGCCAACCGTGCTAATCGGAGGTGCGGGGGGAAGGACAACACAATGTAGTCTCGTTCTTTCCAAACCATTGCAAGCGTGGGGGGGGGGGGTGGGGGGAGGGGCACCCTTTCTTTTTGTAACCCCCAAACAATAAAGGAGTGACCCAGCTGAAGCTTTAGCGAGTTCGCAAAGCTTCTATTATTGCATTACCTCTGGCAGAAATGTAAAAATGCCGAAGGATAAAAGATCGATTCGCCCCGCTGCCTCGCGTTTGCCCCTCGAGATGGGAGACGCGCAGCGAGCGGACCGAACAGCGTGCCGCACGGCGGGGTGAATTTACGCAACGGGACCGGACGGAGATGAATAATGCAGCGACGGGGCGGTGATTGGTGGGAGGCGGGCGGGGGGGGGGGCAGCTCGAGGAGCCAGTAAGATTGTCGGGGAGATCGGGAGTAGCGGCATCTGGATTGCACATCGGTGGGGGGGGGGTGAGAGGCACGGGGGGGGAGTGGAAGGGGGGGGGGGCGAGGGCGTGGCCTAGGGAGGGACATTGGCCCCTGTCGGCCCGGCCCGAGTGGACCATTTTACTTTCTCCAGAAAGTAAAATTGCCGCGCCGTGCGTCATCGCGCCAGCTTTTCGCTGCTCTAACGAGGGTCGGGGTCGTGATTGTGTGTGGGGTGGGGGCGCACTGCGCTGTGCTGCGCTACGAACCCGGCGACCTGAGTTCGATTCCCCCGCCGTGGCTAACCGGTACTGCCCCCCCCCCCCAGCCCGCCCCCCGACCTGCTGACGTCGACTCGCACTCACCAGCGTGGGTGGTGAAGCGTGGTGAAAACTGCAGACGAAGCAATCGTTAATTTGAGGTTATTCGGCATACTGTACCGTGAGAAGTTGACCCTGTTCAGAGAAAGTGTTTTGGCAGGCAGTAATTGGTCAAAGTGTTTGGCAAGCAGTAATTGATCAAAGTGTTTAGCAAGCAGTAATTGATCAAATCAGTAATTGATCAAAGCAGTCTTAAAAAGTAACCCTTATATGTATGTTGAACTTCCTTCGCGCCGTACATAGCCAACCGTCCTTCTCGGCGGTGCGGGGGAAGGTCACCAAACTGTTCTCTAGAGTTTTCAATCTAGATTGAAAATTCACAAAGTGACAGAGCACGATTTTAACTAGAATATTGGCCCGAGTGGACCAAAGCTCACGCTGAGCCAGCGATGCTTATGATAATAAGAGTAATGGTAGCTGCTTCCAAAGATACCACTGTAGTAGCCAAAAAGTAACTTTTCTCCAATTCTCTCCAAATTCAATCTTTTGTTCCCACTCCTAGTGCCCGTGCGACACGTCGATAACAAAACGTCAAAACGTCAAACCGTCGAACTCGTCATGCAAAGAAGAACATCTCACAAGACAGCCAGAGGGAAGAACTGCATGTGCATGCATTGTCTTGTGTGGTGAATTGTTTGATGCAACTGATAACAGCCGCCACTCATAGTCATCCCGGGAAGGCTTGCAGACTGCAGCTGTCCCGAAAAGAGGACGATCCGGGGAAAAAAAAACAGTACAGGTGGCAACCCTAGCCACATCTCTTGCCAACCCACTGTGCGTGCGTGTGTGTACGTGTGTGTACGTGTGGTCTCACTCCCCAGTGGTGATGTTTACACACCGCACCAGGTAATCAATTTGAGGCTGAGTCGACCAAGGGGAGGCCCGGGACTGGTTCAGATAATCGTCACTAGTGTCGGTGGCCATGAGCGGGAATCGAACTCGGCTCGTCGGGTTTATAGCGTGGTGCTGGCCACCCACCCCTCCATCGTGTTCCGTTCCGGCCTTCATAGGTGCCACTCGCTAACAGCACAACACTTGCCCCAAAAAAAACTGTTTAGGCTACACGGGGGGGTCAGTTCCCGTTTGTTAATGGAGTTGCAAACGGCAGGAGCAGGTACAGCGAGGCTCCAGCGAGTGCTCATAAACCCCGCCGAATTATTCGTTCTAGGGAACCTCACGCACGCTCACAAGCCCACACGCGGCGCACAAGGGTGAGAGCGGTGGCGTTTGTTGCCAGTGCCCGGGCAGTATGGGACACTGTGTACCGTCCGCAGTGTGTGCCCTCTGTAGTGTTTACCATCTATTATAGTGTGTACGATCCACCCTGTGTACCGTCCACCTTGTGTACCATTCACACTGTGTACCGTCCAACTTGTGTACCGTCCACAGTGTTTGGCATCTCCTCATTGGCTGACTTGGTGGCCTCGTGCGAAACTCTTCGTCGCAGACTTTAGACGCCGACTTGAATTTGCTTTATTTGCGGTGTAAAAAAATAGAAATTGATCTAATTTCTAAATATTGACGGACGGCTACCGCCGCCGCCACCGACACCGCAACAGCCGCCGGCATCGCTGCGGCGGCAAACTCGGCTTGGGGGAGAGACCCCGACAACGCAAATCGAATCAACTCACTCGGAGACAGGCTCCCGCACCCCCGGCGTCAGGCAGGACGCGGAACGGGCCTGGAGCGGCTGTGAGAACAACTACAAAAAAAACAACAAAAACCCATCGCTCTCGAGCTTCGGGGGGGGGGGGGGTTACTGATGTAATTTCACTGGCGGCCTCCGAGGTGGTGTTTACTTGGCGCGTTGAGATTATCGCGCGAGCGAGCCAATGCGCGAGAATAAATCCCCACACGTGCTCGCTGGCAGCGGCAGCGGCGGCAGCAGCAGCAGCAGCAGCGGGCGAACACTCTGTACGTACGTGCGTTGAACTTCTTTCGCACCGTATGTAGCCAACCGTGCTAATCGATGGTGCGGGGGAGGGACAGCACCGTCAACAAACTTTTACTTCCTTACCCCCACACCCGCCCGCCGTCGCTGGCGGCACTCCGCTGTTCCTGCTGCTGCGCCGTTTGTATTTAATTTAGTTTCTGTATTATTACATGTTTCTGTCATCTCGAAATCCAGCTTGTGCGCCGCTGCTCGTCCGTTCTCCTTCAATCCTCGTCGTGCCCGTCCTATTTCCGCTCGGCCTTGTTTATTTTCTCGGAGACTGAGCTCTGCACTTCTGACACAGCGCCCCACCGCCTCCCGGCTGTAGCATGGTTGGGGAGACCGCGAGAGAGTGAACGTAGCATGCATCATCACCCGCACGGCGTGGGTTCATCGCGAGGCGTGGGGCGATTGCACGTAGTTTTTTTACGCCGTGGGAGGCAGCACGTACAAGACACATAAACTGCGATAAAGTTTGTATTTATTTATTTTACCAGGAAGGCCCATTGAGCTACAAAGCTCTTTTTCAGAAGTGACCTGGCCACAAATAATAGCTCAACGAAGCAGCTTATCACGTGTATATCCGTAGCAGCCAAATTCTCTTGAACACGTGATGTGCTAAAGAGTATTTGACTGTGGAGGGAAAAACTGGAGTACCCGGAGAAAAATCCACGCGTGCATGGGGAGAGAGAGCATGCAAACTCCAAATATACAGCAGGCGTCAGGGGTTGGGATTGAACCCACGCACTCCTGTATATCAGGCGAGGTCGTGAACATCTTGCCACCGAGGCGCCCTTTTGGGCCCCCTCATTGAGTTGGTATTCGCGTGCCTCGTCTGATACTTCACATGGGCCGGCCTCAGCTCGTCGTTATCCCTGCCCCCCCCCCATTAACTTAAAATTGGTTCACCGGCATGCCTCATCAGCAGTAGCCACTTTCGCCAGGCAATATGGCACGAGGCGGGCACGGCAGCGAGGAGGCCAATCGCGAGCGAGCGTTCTTGATCACATGACTTATCCGAAACGACGCGCGGCGTGCGATGGGCTCACCGGGCGATGCGTGTTCCTCACAGCGAGCGTGGATTTTAGAAAAATAATTCCGCTGCGCGATTGCGCGTCACTTGCAGAGGGCCCGAGGGGGTTCAGTGTAGGAGTGAAACAGAACCAATCTGCCGCTCCGTGTGTGTGTGTGTGCGTGTGCGATTGTTACCACTGGTTTTAATCGGCAAATGAATGATTTGCTCTGTTGTTACAAAGCTATACGCAGCACGTAAGTCAGAGAGTGATTCACGTGTGATTTAGCATGGAAAATAATGAGCTCATGTGTACGGGTAATGGGTGTGGCGTATTTGGTTAGTGTACCATTTTACGAACCTGGCAACCTGAGTTTGATCTTCAGCCATTCCTGACGGCAGTGATGAGTGAAATCTGAACCGGTCTTGGGCTAACACACACCCCGCCACCTCCCACTTCACCAGTCGCCTCGACCAGGAGGATGGTGAAATATGGTCAAGCAAGCCTATTGCTGGAGGAATGATGGCATGAGTTGACCCCTAGCAAGGATATAATTTTGCGACCTCCCAAACAGTTGGTCGCAATTTCTAAACCATGGTGCCACCCAGCGAGAATGGAGCGTTAACTGTGTTACTCGCCAACAGTCATACTACGTAGAGACTTGCACCCACCATAGGAATGTGGAATTTTACAATGACCACTCGGAATGAAGCTCCCTTTTGGGGCTTTCCCAGTAGGGAACTCTCGGAAGGGGGCTCGCTCGGGGGAGCTTTGCCAGGAGGGCCCCCGAGGAAGGGGGTTTTGCTTGGGGGGGCTTTGCCAGGATGGACCCCTAGCCAGGGGTTGGCGCTCTAGGGTGGATGCTGCCACACGCTCTCAGCGAGCGTTCCCACACTCGACTCGGCGTGGGGGCGGTGACTCTTTACGCGTCCTTCTGAACTCGCCTGCTGCCCTTTCCCCCCAACCTCCCCCCCTCCCCATCCACCCTCCGACCCCCCCCGCCCCCCGTAGGTCCAGGCCGGCCCGTAGGGGCGAGGCTCAACCGGAGCCCACCACCGCATCCCGCCAGAGCCTCCGGAAGGCCGCACGCGGCGGCGGCGGCAGCGGCGGAGGCAACAGCGACGACACCTTGGAGCTGCTGTACGACTTCTAGGCGCGCCCGAGCGACGGTGAGCGATGATGGCCTTCAGGTTTAAATCTCGCCTCTTAAAAGCCAAGCCCTCGGAAACGCTTGGCATATCTGCAACGCCCACGTAATAGCAACGTGCGGCCCCGCTAAGACGTGTTGGGTTCCGTGCATTAGTGTGCACGCCGGTGTTTTGCCGCGAGTTACCATTGGCGCCCGCTCGGTTTATTTTCTTTTTTTGGGGGGGGGGGGGGGGGGTCGGTGGTGCAGACGATGATTATGATTATGACGACGACGATGATGACGACGATGATGAATTTGGGGTCGAACGAGAGCTCGTACCGTTCGAGCTGTGCAGCGACATTCCTCTTCGGGAGCCTCACGTCGGAGGGGTCACGGTTTGTTAGGAGCGTGTTCAGCCAGCGGGGTGGTGGGGGGGGGGGGGCGACGTAGATTTCGAGACGCAAGGTAGATTTAATTCTGCTGGCTGAGCCGTGGTGCTGTTGGCGAGCCGGCGTGAGGCACAAGGTGGCGGTGGCGGTGATGGCGGTGGCAGCGGCAGTGGCGGCGGTAGAGTCGGCACAACACCTGCCTTCTCTCGCTGCTGATGTTCACGCATAGTGCCAGGTGTTCACTTAAGATCTGAGTAAATCTACAGGTGCCACAAGCCGCGATCAATTACCAATACTTGCGACTGGGTTCGTAACGCAGTGGGGTGATCGCTATACCACCACTCACCTATCTAATGACCATCGCCCATGAGCTATCCACTGCTGGATGAAGGCCTCCCCCACACCGTTTTCTCCTTTGGCTGCCACAATCGTTAGCCCAACTCCCCTCCACGTACGTGAATGTAACTCTCGGGGTTGAGGATGGGTGGCGCAGTGGTTCACGCACTGCGCTCCCAACCTGGCGACCCGAGTTTGACACCCGGACACGGCTAACATCATCGACAGCTGCTGCCTGAACAGGTCCTGGGTCTCTCCCTTCACCAACCCGCTCTGAACCAGCATGGTGAAGTATGGTCAAACAAATCCTCCACCCCGCCCCGCCCATCATGACCAACAACGAAGCCCTTCAATCAGCGTCAGAATCACACGTCTGTAATTTACCACGAACAACGATTTTAACATCGGTATCCACAGTTACGTACTTTACGTGCACTCCCGCGGGTGCAGTTGGGCATGTTTACACATGAAGAGAATATGTTTTGTCGTGAGTCATGTTTCTGTCAGGCACGGCCACCAGCGAACTCCGTGTGTGAATCGTTTGTCTTCTGCCTCCGCTGTGACCACGTGCCCCTCCCCCGGCGTCCCTCCCCTACGCGCCCCCAGCCCCCTCCAGCTCCCCCCCACGTGTGTGCCGGCGTCTCTCCGCAGACCCAAGAGGAGTGTTACGAGGCGCGGGTGTTCAGCCGCTCGGGTGACGGCGTCCCTCGGGAGCGCCCGCCAGCGCCCGTCCATCGCCCATCGTCGCCGGCAGGCAGCCGGCTAAAGGCTACGGCGACGGGAGGAGACACGAAGCGTGGCGGGCGGGGGGCGGGGGGCGGGGGGGGGGCACCCTTGTGGGGGGTCTGACTGGGGTTCTTGGCACGGGTGTCTGAATGGGGTTGTCACTTTATATAAGTCTCCCTACCGACCCCCACACGGCCTACCGCCTCTTCGTGTCTCCCCCGCCAAAGGCTTCCTTCTCCGGGTTCGCGTACCAAATGGTGTCCGTGTACCAAATGGTGTCCGTGTGCGGCGGTCGGGGGGGGGGGGGGGTGGGGGTACGGTGAAGCGCACGCCTTGCCGCACGGCCAGCGGCCGAGCGACGTTTTGTTTCCCGTCGGCCGACCGGATCAACCTCCCTGTGTGTTTGCGTGAACGAAGGAGGGTGCGTGTATGCGAGCGTGCGTGTGTGCGTGCGTGAACGAACGAGCGTGCGTGTGTGCGAGGGTGCGGGCGTGCGGGAGCGTGCGCGTGATTGATGGAACGTCGTCTCGGTTCTCCGCCGGAGGTCCAAGCCGGGGCACCGTAGCCCTCCCGCGAGCCGTGCGATCTGGCAACACCGCCGTACGGTATTATTGGTGGAGCGCCACGTTTTATGCACACGCGCACGTACACACACGCGCACGTACACACGCGCACGTACACACGCGCGCGTACACACGCGCACGTACACACGCGCGCGTACACACACGTACGCACGCGCACGTACACACGCGCACGTACACACGCGCGCGTACACACACGTACACACGCGCACGTACACACGCGCACGTACACACGCGCGCGTACACACACGTACGCACGCGCACGTACACACGCGCACGTACACACGCGCACGTACACACACGTACGCACGCGCGCGCACGGCCGACTGCACGCGGTGAATGAATTGGCAAAGTTCATCTGTCAGCAAGCAATAACGTGTTCTTAACCTGCCCTCCCCCTAAATTGTTCTTGATGGAGAGGAGCCAGTGTTTGTCTGAGCGCGGTCTCGCTGACGGTTATTGTGATTATTACTTTGCGGTTTTCTTCTTTTCTCCAGGAGAAGTTGGTTCAATGTCGACGGGTGAGAGGGGCGAGGTAGACGGGTGAGAGGGGTGAGGTAGACGGGTGAGAGGGGTGAGGTAGACGGATGAGAGGGGTGAGGTAGACGGTTGAGAAGGGTGAGGTAGACGGGTGAGAGGGGTGAGGTAGACGGATGAGAGGGGTGAGGTAGACGGGTGAGAGGGGTGATGTAGACGGGTGAGAGGGGTGAGGTAGACGGGTGAGAGGGGTGAGGTAGACGGGTGAGAGGAGTGATGTCGACGGGTGAGAGAGGTGAGGTAGACGGGTGAGAGGGGTGAGGTAGACGGGTGAGAGGGGTGAGGTAGACGGGTGAGAGGGGTGAGGTAGACGGGTGAGAGGGGTGAGGTAGACGGTTGAGAAGGGTGAGGTAGACGGGTGAGAGGGGTGAGGTAGACGGGTGAGAGGGGTGAGGTAGACGGGTGAGAGATGAGGCAGGCAGGAGGGCAGCTCCAAACCTGGCTAGGCTGAGCGTCTGCGTGCCCCGCTGAGCGGCGGTGCCGCTCCACTTGCACTGGCAGGGCACGCCAGACCGCCGCTCCCCACGTGTCCCCAGGGGAGGGGGAGGTGGGGGGGAGTTCAGAGGTCACCGTGGCTAATCTTCCTTATTGCTGGCGTCCCAATGACAGGCAGAGGCGATCCGTGTGCCCTGCCAACTGGGCTCATTGCCTCTCAGTCTGCACGCCGAACGTGCAGACTGAGAGGGGCTTTTAAAATGCGATCGGCTCGCTGGCATCGTGGCTCCCCTGGCATCGCCGTTGCCTTGGCCTGGTGGCGCGTGCCCGCGTGCGCGTCTCTTTCGCTTCCACGCGAGACGGTTCGTCGCACAGCACTGGCGGCTGTGGCCCATTGTGCGTGACGTTAATGAGCCAGGGTTGACACAACAGTTTTGACCAAGCCGCTAATTCCGTACAATGAGACGGAATTATTTCTCTGCCTTTCTCGGAACATTACACGCGCACGGTTTTCGTGATTTCTTCTTCGGCGGTTTCGCCACAGCCGATGTGTTTTCTTCACGTGGCGAGGTTAACGTCTCTTTCGCAGCAGGTGTCATCCGTAGCCTGCCGTGTGTTGGTGTGAGCGAGCTGCTGATAGTTGGTATGTGAACAAGACCTGGACATTGCCGAGGTTAACTGAGCCCAAACCGACATTGCTAGGTGCATTACGTGAAGATCAGCCCCAGGAAGACAAAGGCTGCTGGCCGTATTACTGGCCCAGTTGAGAGGTGCAACAATCGACCTGCCACTCACGCTCGCGATTAATCATGGTCAGGAATCATCCGTCGTGATGTTGATTATTTGTTTTTACATCGTGGTGAGTGGTAGCAGCCTCTCTCCCCCGTGGACCCCCATCGCGCAATACAACATATACAAATAGAAAATCCTCGATTCTTACACGCGCAATGCAGTGCGTCATTATCGCGAGCTTTCAGAAGTGAAACCAGTCGGTGAATTGACGCTTCGTTATGACACTGCTGGCCAAAACCGCTGACGCGTATGCCATGCCGGACTTAAGCTAAACTAAAACTATTTTTTATTTTACCAGGTAAGGCCCACTGAGCTCTATAGCTTTTGTCAGCAGCGGCCTGGTCACAATTCTGATAGCTTAACGAGAGGTATGCTTATGACGTGGAAATGTATTGCAGCTAGATACTCTTAATCGCATGTTTCTCAATGTGGAGGGAAAAACCGTGGGACCCCGAGAAAAATCCACGCGACCAGGGGAAGAACACGCAAACTCCAAATACGCAGGGGTCAGAGTCGGGATCGAACCCACGACCTCATGCATACCAGGCGAGGTAGTTAACATCTCGCCACCGTGATTTGTCACACGGATGATCCCGTTTAGGCATTTGCCCGTCTATTTTACACGAGAGATCCATGGTGTGTGAGCACAGCATATGTGTATAAATAGGTGCTCGCAAACAGCACTTGCTCCCGCGAGCCTCATGAAGCTCAACGAAGTCACCTTCCCTGTGTTCTCATCATCGGACGACGGAACGCATCGCAGAGTTTCACGCATGTGATTTCCGTCGGGGAAGAAAATTGATCTGATAATCACGTCGACCAAAAACAAAAAATACGATAACCTATCCTATTAAAAGAAATGTACAAGTTTCCCTCGCTTTATGCGGATTCGGTTTGTGCGATTTCGCACCGTATATGCGGCTCACCTACTCCCCCCCTCCCCCCAAAGATTCGCGACATACGGTTTGAATTCACTCATGCGGCTATGCAGTCGGACGTGGGGCAGCCATTGTTTGTGTACTGTGTTCTGTGTGTGTCCTGCGTGCGTACTGTGCGTGTGCTGTGCCTACTGTGCGTGTACTGTGCGTACTGTGTGCGCTATTCGGCAGGCAGCTGTCTCATACACAGAGATACATAGAGATACAAAGATCCCCCGTATAGCCTTAACATACTGTTGAGACAAGTGCTGTTAGCGAGCACCTATGAAGGCCGGCACGGCACACGAGGAGGTGGGTGGCCAGCACCACGCCTGGCTGCCTTTGTCTCCCTCTTTGCGATGTTTACGACGCACCGCACCAGGTACTCAATTTGAGGCTCAGTCGACCTAGGGGAGGCCCAGGACCGGTTCGGATAATCCTCACTGGTGTTTGCTTTGAGCGATGCAACATTGTGCGCGTGTGTACCGTGCGTCACTGTGGGTTGGGTGACTGCGCGATCCACACTACTCAGTTTCGCATTGTGCGCCCTGTTCTCGCGAACGCGCCTGCCTGGGCGGGGCGGGGGTACCGGGCCACGGCACGGAGAGAGAAAAAAAAGTGCGTTTTGAATGTTGTTCCAGTAAGTGGTAATGAGGTGGACAAAGAGCACCGTTGTTAGGCCGGCCCGCTGGGGTTGGATCCAGGGGGTGTGCGGCTGCGGCTGCGGGAGGTGGTGGCGGTGGTCGGAGAAGAAGGAGCCGGGGGAGGAGGAAAGGTGTGCGATGCTCGCCGCCGCCGCCGCCGCCGCCGCCGCTGCTGCTGCTGCTGGACTTCGTGGCCAAGTGCTCTGTGAGGCTGGGGGGCTGTGGCGGGGGGGGGGGCTGTGGGGGGGGGGGCGGGGGGCTGCCCGAACTTAGGTTGCGCTGCCGAGCGCCATTTCTTACAAACCCAATAAATTTCGCGAAATTTTCCCACCACCGCCACTGCTGCCCGACACCTGCTGCTCCCACCCGCCCACCCCCAACCTGTGTGGACCTTGCCCCCCCCCCTCCCCGCCGTTACGCGACACGACCTCTGTCGCAGCAGAGGGAACTACCACGCCGGAGACTGTCCTTCACCGAGGAGATGGAACCACCACGAGATTGGTTCCCGCGGTGCAGTGGCTGGATATGGAGCGTTGCATCGAGGCCTGACCGTGAGGGCCTGCCGGCGGCTTGCGGAGGACTTATGGGTAGATCATGGCTGCTGGTGATGACTGTCATCGGCGCATCCTAATTGTGTAATCAGAATGACGTGATGAGATCAATAAATGTCCTGGAATTGTTGCTGCCGGCAGTCGTCGCTCCGTCTGCTCAGTGGACGTCATCTCGGATTCGTCTTAAGAAAGATTTTTAAAAAATCCACCACGGGTCACTTGAATAGGCCTCGCACGTTCCAATGACCTTGTATCTGAGAACATCTCCTGGATGATGCCTTCGTAAAACTACTTCTCATTACCCTTTAATTGCCCGTTATCTACACCAGGTGGTGCGCCTTCCCACATGCCCTGCGTGTACTTCCCATATTTGGAAGCCGCTGGCGCTATGCACTTTAAAATCTAGGTTGAAAACTCGTTTCTTAGCGCGGTTGGCTAAGTACGCCGTGCGAAGGAAGTGCAACACACAGACTCACACAGAGACCCATAGGTTGTCCTTTCCGCGCACCTCCGATTAGCACGGTCGGCTACGTATACGGTGGGCGAAGGAAGTTCAATATACAGGCTGTACAAGGTAGGCCGAAAGTCAGGACACACAGGGTTATATTTATTCCAAC